AGGTGGTGGACTGAAGCAGACCATTTCTGCAATGTTCCTGCCTAATGGGCACAAGCAAAGTCTGGCTATGTACATGTTAAAAAGAAATTTGGATGTTCTTTAAATAGTTAATGAACAAGGAAAGTCAGAAAAAGGCTGAGATCACCTTTAAACAAATGGTGTAACTATCCCTAAAATGTAAATGAAAATTCCTGAGCATAAATAGGAAAGTTCAGTGTTCAAAATGGGATAGAAGAGGGATGCTCTCAAAACTTCTGCCTTTAAAATTAGCATCATACATGCAATCAGCAATTTTACTGTGGAATTGGAGCTATAGATTGTAAATTCATTTTTTCAGATCGGCAAAATAAAACAGAATTAATTTACAAAAATTATTTCTACCAACTGGTAATCAGCTGCAGACTTTCCTTAACAGAGGCCAACTGGAAGTACAATAACTATTATCTAAACTGCACATTCACACTCCTGTACTTGAAGAAACACAATCCCAAACCACAGAAATATAGATGAAATAATAAGAAATATTAAGAAATATTCTCATAGCCAAATTTCTCATATGAAAGCCACAATCCACACCACATCGTCTGAAACACAATCGCTATATGTATAGCCAGCCACAGAAAACATCTTGCCACTAAACCACCCACTGACTAATCAATAAGCCTGCCCAGTACACTATTTTCCATCATTGATAATATCTTTAGGGATGAAATTGAGCGAGTTGCAAGTACAGATTAGCTGGGAAGTGCAAGCTGATGTCAGTGCAGCTGCTATTTATCCACCCTAGGGGGCCTGAAACCCGGCGCTTGCACACACCTCCGTGAAAGGGCAAAGCTCCAGCCTTCCTTCCAGTTGCACCCAAACAACCATCATGACTTCGTGGAGTGGGGGTGCGAGTTACTGGGATGAGACATGGAGAACAATTTGATTCCCAAAATCTCAAAACTACTTACAAGCAGCTTCTTACCCAAGTTCTGCCCTGACAGTCTCAACCTGGGCACTTCCACTGATGTTTTATGCATGCTCCCTTGTCCAGTTTTGCTTTTCACATTACTATCAACACAGCAATGTTATTTACTGACTGCCTTTCCACCACTAATCACAGAAATGTAATAGTAACAGGCTGATATATTCCAAGCCCTGAGTTGCAAGCTCAGTAATGAATGAAGAAAGTTTGTAGCTATTCACAGGGAAAATGGCTTTGTTTCTTCCACCCTGTTTCAACAAGTCTGGTAGACTCAACTGGCAACTTTAGCAACTACAATTTCTGTGCGGAGATGTGGAAGACTAATTTTTTAAATTATCATGGTATTAATGAAAATAACAAATACCTTAGGGGCTGTGACAGCTCCTAAGATTAGAGAAGCTAACCATCTAGCAAGAGTTGGCATCTATGCCCGCAAGATATTACGTTGTCCAGTTGATTTCAGGGGCCAAAAATCTTTGCAAGTTTTGCCATCCATGCAAGGTTTCTGCACCTGGTGATGTTGCTTCACTACAAAATTATGGCCCAATTTTCAACAGCAACAAGTGAACACTCTTGGTAATTCCCAGGCAAGAGGTTTGCAGGATGACGCTAATAACAGCACAACCTGGTTTATAATGACTTAAGTCATTAAGAGCATTTCACCATGTCCAGGCTGCGGACTTTCTCTCACACATCTGAAATCAGAGTTGTCACTGTTAGCCAAGTACTGCCAAAGAGGAAATACCTTTTGATTTCACACAAAAAGGAACTGCAGACTGTAAACTTCCAAGGTGGAAATGTTAAAGATATTGGAGTGGCAGGTGAGCCCATCAGCCAGCAGCAACTGAGGGCATATAGCAGGGAAAGGAAAAGCCAGGAGTGCTGGGATAGGGTGTCAGACAGACAAGTGCTGAAGAAGCATCAGTGGGTTTGCTAGCAAGGAAAATGGGTAGTTAAGATGATGAGCAGCTGGAGTGGGAAATATCAGCCAATCCCAGTTGGAAGATAAAGAATAATTTTCTACCGTTATGTCAGTTAAAGGTAAATATGAGCATTTGCACTGAAACCTGCGACAATTCAGGACTGCAATTCAGTCCTTCTGAGTGACGACCCAAACCCAACCCCTCAAGTCAACAGATCTTTGGTCTTCATCAGTTTGCTTTTCCCACCTTGAAAGCTGTCTCTCAAGAGAAGGCTGTAAATTTTAGCCTGAGACTGACTCTTTAGAAGACATCATTCTTCAGGATTTAGTTAT